ATCGGAACAAACAATCAGAGTGCTAGGGTTGAAGCTATAATGAGTTCACTTAATCTGAGAACGAGAACAAAAACTCGGTGACCAAAGACCAATAAGCTAACTATTTGATGCGTTCCAGCCCCGCTAACTAGAGGGAGAAGTCCAAACTTGGAATGGGAAGTATATTCTGCAAAACAGCCAGGAAGGAGCGATAACAACAAACACCATTCAAAAAGTATATATATAGTACAGAAACGTCCTTGGGGAGAGTTACCAAATAGCATTTTAAAAGACACAACGGACTAATAGCATTTAGGATCTTTCCCAGTGAGAAATACGACAAGAAGGTGACAAGAGTGCTTTTGGCACGAAAGCAAAGAAGTTCAAATTTTCTAAATAAAATTACAAACTTAGGTCCTATAACAAGTGAGTTTTAGGGATCTGACGTCCCCAACACAGAGACACTCAGAGGAAGAAGCGAAACGAATCTGAGAAGGCATGTAAGTGAACTCAATTCAGTCTAACGTTACTCAGTATTTATATCCAGACCAAAAAGAAGTTACAGACGTATAATGAATGGGATAAGTAGTTAACACATATACGATCATATAAAAACAGTCAAACTTAGCCAATAAGTGACAAGGTTAAAATATGGCCTCAGAAAAATGAGTAGATTAATCTGTACAGAAACTAGAATGGCCTATATGTGTAGCAATGTATTTGTGAGTGATAACCAATTGGTCATGCTATATGTTCACAAAACCGGAACGGAAGGCTAATTGCTACTTTATTAATACAGAGATTTTACAGGCAATCACGGCGATTGTACAAATTATAAGAATTGATGAAAAATGTGAATACTAAAAAACCCTAACTGCACAGTAGGTCTACTTCAGCTATCCTCCCTACATCGTCGTTCCCCCAGACTCGAATAGACCGTGATCATTGAAGAACCAAATTTATTTGGTTTCACAGGAGACAAGCTCTAGCCAGTTCAGATAGAAGCTCCCAATTTGAAACTTTTGGATTAAGAAGGTCGAACTAGGGACCGGTGCTCAGTGTTACTTATCCGCTAAAAAACCCTACACTGTAATGGATTATTAACTTATTTGGTTAAAGAAGCGTCACCCAATGGGACATTCATTTAAAATGTAACACTAATGTGCTCATACATAAATTCGTGCAAACGTTTTCGTAACTGAAATCAGCAAAATGCATGACTCGTAACAGGATGCTACAGTAATAGCGAATTCCGGTTAACTTTTGAGAAGAGTGTCCAGTGTTTACTATAGCCTCTTAGAAACTGAAGGGTATTACTTAATGTGCTACTCCTTCAATCTTATTCTGATTTATTTTTTCCTTTCATTTTCCTAAAGAGACGTGACATCCATCATACCTCTCTGAAGCCATGAACTCTCTTTTATTACCAAAACACTGATATCCGTAGCATCTTACCAGACAATTCTGGAGGAGTTCAGGTCAAAATATTTGTAAGAGTGAGTAACAGGACCGACGACAGTGTTGAACCCCGACCATGTAGACCCCTCAAGGTAATCCTAGTGTCGGAGGAGCGACTTGATCTTTTGTTAAGTAGCGCTCGCAGTTACGACAATACCGACATTTGAGTAAGACCTGATATACCTCTTGAAAGTAGAATGAAAGGGAAGACAGCACTAGCCGGACTAGAAACCCTTCGGTGAAACAGTGAGGAAAACTCCGATTAATGGGTTTTCAAACGGTCAGCTCTTGGAAGCGAATGCTATCAAGGCCTGTGTGGTTAAGCCGTTCCTCTTAAGAGTTTTATATAACAACGGTCGTAGCCTAAGAAATAAATTCCATGAACTAGGAGCATCGGTGTACGAATTAATGCCACTCATTTTAGCTGCGACGGAAACTTGGTTAGTCCATGACTTTGGCATTACTCTAGAATTATCCGGATAACACTACGTAGGAAGTGATAGACACAGATGAAGTAATGGAGGTGGCGTCCTTTTATTCATAGCCAATACTATAAATATCCGCTCCTCTGTTTACGAATCCCATGATAGTGGAACGTGTGAAGTTAATAGCTGTGAGCTCACTATCGGATGTTGTACATTTATACTCTATGTCCATCTAAGCCCAATCTGCTTAGCTGATGACTTTATTTCAGAGCATATTCAGCTATGGAGTGCAAATATCAGATGCTTGATACTAGGAGACTTTAATGTACCTGATATCAATTGGACTAAGATGACCACGGAAGGATCTATAAATTCATTTGATAGTAGGTTCTTGATAACAGTAATGGAGCATGCATTAGTACAGCATGTATCCAAATCCACACGTTTCGGTGCAAACCAAGGTTCGTCTCTATTACACTTGATAATCACTCATGAGACTGAGGATATTGCCAACCAAAATATTCTTTCACCGTTAGTGAATAGCGAACGCGCTGTTTTGTCACTCACATTTACAGCTAGCGACTTGATATACGATCAGGTCAAGCCTCTCCCAAAATGTATGGGGAGCTAGCATATCAACCATTCAGGAGCGAGTTGCTAAGACAGATTGGGCAGTAGATACTGACTCATCGGTTGAAGAAGCATGGTCTATATTTGAAAGCAAGTTTAGTTCAGTTACGTGCTCGTCCATACCATACATGGTGCCACGTAGACCGAATTACAATCCACCATGGATAACTAAACAAGTCAAAAAACTTCTTATGCATAGAAAAAACACTGGAATATGTTCATTTCTACTGGCTTAGGACAGTACAGATCCAGTTATTGTAAGGTTAGGAATACTTGTAAAGCATTAATAAGCAAGACTAGATGGTCATGTGAAAAACAATTGGTTAGGGATTGTAAAAATGGTCTAAAACAGTTATCCTCTTATATAAAAAAGAGAACTCACAGAAGTGATGGAATTTCATCACTTTTGCTACTAATTCGATAATATTGGCAAGAAATACCGAAAGAGCTGAAGCTTTAACGGAATGTTCCAGTAAAGTGTTTTCTATCAGTAATGAGGAACGACTAACATTTCATTGTGATCGCGGCGGCTGGCTGATGGACCCTGTAGTCATTGAGAAAGGTATTGGTTTAAGGCTACTCCAGCATCTTAAACCTGATAAGTCCAGTGGTCCTGATGATATTCATCCTAGGATTATAAAAGCCATATCAGATGTAATTACTGAACCTTTAGCTATACTGTTTGGTATGTCTCTGTGGCAGTTCAGACTGTCCAGAGACTGGAAAGACTCAATAATTAATCCGGTGTATAAGGCTGGGAGTGAAGATTTAGTTAGTAACCATCGACTTGTCAGTTAAACCAGTGCAGTTTTAAAACCAATGGAAAAAATTATTCAGATAGCTGTATGGAAAGGCATAATCTTTTATCCAGGAAACAACATGGTTTTCGAAAAGACCTATCATGTTTGACAAATCTTCTTGTTGCAAGAAAAGATTGGGCTGCGTCGAAAGATTAGAATATCGCTGTAGGTGTGGTCTTCGTGGATCTATGTACAGCCTTTGGTAAAGCCTCTTATTCTGGTCTTAAATTCATACTGGAAAGTTCTGGTACCCATTATACAGTCATAGACTGGATAAAAAACTTTCTCCATGACAAGAGTCAAAGGGTAAGGGTAAATGGAGCTCTCTCCTTGTGGGTACATGTAAAAGGTGGAGTTCTCCAAGGTACAATTCTCGGTCCTCTTCTCTTTTTGCTTTATGTAATTGAATTACCAACTGTAGCAAAATCATCCATTCTATTCCTCGCCGATGACATAAAGATTTGAAGAACCATACACAACATGTCATGTAGAATAGTATTACGGGATGATCTTAGCTCATTGGTGGCATGGATGAATAGGTGGTCACTAGAAGTAAATCCTAACAAGAGTGTGGTGATGCAATTAAATAACTATGATGATTCGTATCACTACACAATATGTGGATTCGTGCTACCCAAAGTAAGAAACTATAAAGATTCAGGAGTCATATTAAGCAGTGGTCTAAAAACCACCAGTCACTGTAAGGCTGCTGCTGCGAAAGGCTATAGGGTTGTAGATCACCAACGTAGATGATCTATGTCGAAATGATTGGAGGCCGACTCGAGTTAGACGTGAATAGTGTGACGAACCAACTAACATCGAAGTCACACCTCGTGGTCAGCACCTTACGTGGACTACCCCCATTGCCGTAACAAGGTACTATAGATGCTTTGAAGACTGTACAACACAAAGGACGTTATTACAGAAATATATTAGTTAAGGTAGATACAGGCGAAAGTAAGACCACTGCCGCATGGGCCAGTCCATGGCGTATGATTAACTAATGCGCGTTGCTTGTACATGACCTTGGCAGGGAGCGATGATCTGTTCGACATTCAGTGATCCAACTGCCGGATGATTTGGCTAGGGCTCAGTGACATTTCACTGGCCCTACAGGGTATTATGGTCTATTCGTAGGTCCTTCCGGTATTTAGATGACGAAATGTTTGGATTATTATATCCGCATTTGGAATATGGAATTCAAGCAGCAAGTCCTTGTTTCTAATATGGGGTGGATATATTGGAATGAGTTCGGCGATGTAGGACTAAAACAGTAAAAAGTCTATCTGGCCCATCTTATGAAGACAAACTGAGACACTTGAACTTATTCCCGTTATCTTACCGTAGAATACAAAGTGATCCAATATTGGCTCATCGTATACTTGTTATTAATATGTCTTATCTTTTTCTTCCGTCTACGACTGATCATTTGAGAGGACATTTGAAGAAAGTTCAAAAACCGAGACCAAATTGTCTACATCTTAAGTTTCGTAGTGAATTACTAGAATTCTCTACCAGAACACATAATAACATCACCTTCTGTTAATATATTCAAAACGAGATCAGACCTCCACAATGTTACGAACTGCAAGGAATAATATGGGTCGATAGAACTCTTATCTTTACTACTGAAGAATGAATCTACAATGACCTCTGCGGGTTCCTCAAATAAATTTGAGGTCGTTCCTTTTTCCTGTCACCATCTGGTATGGTCAACCAGTTGAGAAGTATGGCCTGCAGACATGTTCAAAACATGGTTCAAAGTGTCTCAAAATGTTCCGGGAGTGAGGCACCATACTCACCAATTGTTGATACTGGCTGTGATTCCCCATCTAGCCTTCCTAAAGCCTGTAAAACATCGGGATTATCCGAAAAAAAGTCTGAGTCTCATTCCGTAATTGATGCAAAGTGTCTGAATAAAAGCTGCGTTTCATCAAGTGTTCCTCAAGCCTGTGATTTCCACTGCGAAGCAGACCAAAAACTAAATGTTAAATGTGCACAGTCAAAAAAGATAGCATCTGAAGGTATTGTACTTCATTTTAGTTTTATTACCCGCAGATTTGGATGACCGTCAATCTCCAAATGACTATCTTTGGCAAAAATTAGAAGCATTGGTTGATCAGATGATCTCAGAAGAGGATGGAATTCCCGTCCGCAATGTTAAAAGTCTAATGTCAATAATTCCTAGCACATTTACCGGTCAGTTGCAGTTTTCTGTTTAATAGGTCTCGTTATTTAAATAAGGTTTCTGTATTTTGTTTCCTAAGTGTTATAAATAACTGCCTTTAGTTTCCAATTTCGATCATCTGTCGTACTATAAATATGGATTCAAAAATTAGCCAGTATACATAACCTTAAGTACATACTTAACTTTTCTCTATGGCCAGGGGCGCCGGTGAAACTTCTAATTTCATCTGAGTCTTGAAAAAACCGTCCTGTGCACTTTAATTCAGTGAGATAATCTCAGCCCTATCTTAAGGCAGTTAGTATATTGATCGTTCTGTATAATTTGAACATTGAGTGATATAATCAGTAATTGATGTTATCGGGTGGAAAAGCTAATACAAAGTTTCTTACAAGCTCTTCATTGTCGTAGATGATGATTACGGAACCATAACATGTTCGAGTTGCCTGTGGGTGTGGGCTAACGTCTCCACTAACGTACTCTATTCATAGCGATCTACTATCAGCCTCAATATATGTTGCCCGGTGATCCAGCCGTATGGCTTAATTTTTAAGATGGCAATATTTAAACCAAATACTCCGTTTATATGGACTTGGTGACTTATCTGTATGTTTGTGAAAATCGAATGTTGTTTTTTAGCATCTGTAAGTCATTTAAGTTTTTTTGCCAACGATTCAGGCAGTACAGTTTATAAGTGTCGGATGAAGATTAAGTATCCCCGGCTTAATCTCTAAGGTATGATAACTAGAGTTAATATATTATAAGTGAGATAATAGACAAGAAATTCCATCCCAAACATTGTTTTTCAACTAAGTTTGTGTGCAATCCAGTCTTTAACTATCATAATGATCAGTCCGATCTCAAATTTCTTTGAAAAGGCACACCTAACCAAATTATAAAGACCTCATTCTTTGTTTTCACTCTCTCTTAAAATAATTCGTTATCCGTGTACTATGTCGTTGTCATATTTTGTTGCGACAGATCATTCTTCAAAAGGTTTTAAACAAAGTTGTCTTTAAACATTAAAATTAAAACACGAAGTTCAGCGAAGGGATCTCTTTCCAACGAATTTATTATCAAGCTGTACAATCGTATATATATGAAAAAGTACTAATTCTGTGAGGAAATTTGAACACAATTAACCAAGATGACGTAATGGAAAGATTATAATACTAGATTGTCATACGAATGATAACAATAGATTTAGTGAATATAATAAGGTGATTAAAATTTTTTTGTTATAATATGTATATATATATATATATATATATATACGATTGTACAGCTTGATAATAAATTCTTTGAAAAGAGATCCTTTCACTGAACTTCGTGTTTTAATTTTAAAGTTGTCTTTGACGGTGTTTTTTTAGCGTAGAATATGTTATAGGAACACTGATTATCATTGACTTGATAGTTCTAAGTGTATCGGTTTATGTGACCCACAGATAAGTTGCTTTATCGATTTTCTTCAAAATAAACTTACTTATATTGTTAACTGAACTATTAGATTACCCTTATCTAATATATTAGCACTTACTGTTTCTGACTTATCTTAGGTAGTGATATTGTTCATTGGTTGATGGAACACATTGGAGCTAGTGATGTTACTGAAGCCGTTCATATTGCTAGTCGTATTGCGTCTATGGGTTATATTTTTTGCATTGATGATCATGTACTCACTGTGAAAAATGATGGACATACGTACTATCGATTTCAAACTCCTTTCCTCTACCCAAGTCGATGCATGGAGGCAGATACGGCAGATTATGCTGTTTATTTGTGTAAGCGCACCATGCAAAACAAACAGAGATTGGAACTGGCTGGATTTGAAGCTGAACGCCTGGCTAGTTTACAAAATATTTACTGCCATAAGTGGGAGTTCATTTATATACAGGTAGGTTTTTATTTATTTATTTAAACACTTAAACATTATCACAAAGAGGCACCAAATATATGCGCGCCATATGAATCATTCGATTCATGTGAGGGTTGGGATACTACCTAGATGCTGAAACCAAGCCAGATTGATTTTTTAGGGGCCCACTCCCCGAGCCTTTGAACTAGAGGTCTAATTCACTAGGTAGTAGAGCAACGTTAGGAGATGCAGTCCCATAGTAGCTGGTGATCAATAGATTCACACGCCATGTGTTCCCTAGGGATCCTGGAGCCTATATGCACCATTGATTAGGAATCAGTGTTTTTCGACTCACCCAGGTGGACCTTATTTATTTATTTATTTGAACACATAAATAATTGGTACGCCATTTGTTCCCGCAGGATACTGGAGCCCATGTGCACCATTGGTTTGGGATCCGGTTAAAGTGCCGGACATTCGCTTTCCGTCCCCTCGATTTCGTAAACAACAGTAATGCCACGAGAAGGTAGTGAGTAGGACTTCCCTGTCAGTGGCTGTATACACGTGGCCGTGTGAAAGCATTTCGAGAGGGAGGGCGGGTCTACACCACTCTCGGCCATACCAGGGCACCTGGGGGTTATAAATTAATTATAATACTTCCAGATATTCGCTTTTCATCCTCTCAATTTCGTAGGCAACACCTCCGCCACGAGAAGGCAGTGAGTAGGACTTCTCTGTCAGTGGCTGTATACGTGTAACCATGTGAGAGCATTTCGAGTGGGAGAGCTGACTCTCTTCACCCTCGGCCACACCAGGGCGTTCATTTATATACAGGTAGATCGACCCTGAAGCTTTTCCAAATGGTCTCTCAATAAATGCATGTTTTAATTTTTACGATTAATACTCAGTTCTTTCGTAATAATTTTCGCAACTCATCAACTGACCGCAGATTTGTATACTGATTTTGATTCAGTGCATGGTGACTAACGCTGGTACTCAATCGCTCAAACACGTAAAGAAAGTACTTTTGAACCTGCTACTTAGTGGTTGAAAATAGAGCCCTAGAAACTAGTTTCTTATTCACTTAAAAATTTAACCTATTATCTATTTGTAAAAAAACATGGAGTTTCGCAAAATATGCAAGGTTGCCGTTAAAACAACACTTCTTACTTCGTCATGTAGGTTAAGCTATTATTTGCGAGTTTTTCACTGACGTATGTAGTCGGGATCAGATTTTTGGTCAACTGAGTGCCAAAATGTCTAGATTATCTGTTAGGTTTTACATTTCACCGCCTTCAATCAGCTGCTTAAGGTTATTTCGTTAGATGAAGAGCTAGTATTCCTAGTAAAAATTGTGTTTAAATTTCGTAAAGAAAGCGTATACAATGGAATTTAGTCTCCTGATTACATTATCTGTTTGTCAGATCTGCTAAATGTTGACAATTCTACTCAACTACCTGGGCAATAGTAAGTCATTGTTTAGAACTGAAATGCCTAATACCAGTGAGCATTAACTATACTTTGATATTAAGTAGAAAAGATAGAATATTGAAAAATATCAAGTTGTAACCTAATAAAAAGTGACTAATAATTTTGCTTTCAAAAGATTGTTATTGACCAGTAATTTATTCACTTACCGTAACTAAAAACAATCTGTCATGATATTTCGTGCAGATCCTTCAAAAGTTCCTTACAGCGATCAGTATTAAGCACAGAACTACTTATGGAGTTACTCAATTCATGCTCTTTTGTATGATACATTAAATTTTTGATTATCACTCATATATCTATGTGTAATATAAAATTCCTACTTTTTGTGTAGGCAGAATCAGAAGCTAAAGTAGATAAGAAAAGAGATAAATTAGAGAGACTGGTACTTGAATCACAAGAACGAGCCTATTGGGATTTACATAGACCACCACCAGGCTGTATTAATACAACGGATATTGATATGCGTAAATTGTGTCGCGCTAAACGCCCTAAAAAAACCACATCTCGTCCTATAAATTTTCCTATTCCGAGTGGCCCAGGTTAGTGTATTTCTTGTATTTTCAGGTTACGATTTTATGTAAATTATTAAATTTTCAAATAATTATGTGTTGTATATAGTAACTTATTTAATTTTCCTCTATCCATACGACAATCTGGCTGATTAAGTCAAACTTAGTATCGATGTAGTGCATTGTTCTCTTACTAATGCTTCAAACGTCAATATGTATCAGATTTCAGATCATTTCTCTCATTCTTGGTTTTAAAATTGGACTGAGTAGAAGAAATTTTATACTTACAGTCGTTTGTATAAGTTTTAAAGAAAGTGAAAACAACTATTTAGACAGAATACCATGATGGTTCAATCTGTTTCACTAAATTTTGTCTATAAATTAGTAACATTTCAACTTTCGATTTTAAATATGGATATATATATCACTATCGCTCTTTAAATGAATGTAAGAAGTATGCTTAGCATACGATTTAAAGTTATCTCACCAGTGAAAAGCAGTAAAAATCGAATCAAACAAATTTGACATTTTTTTAATGATTCGTCGTATTACTCACTAAATACATGATTTTTATTTATTTGAACACATAAATATTGGTACAAGAGGGGTACCAGATATATATGCGCCACACAAAACAATGAGAATGGGAAGAGAAAAAAAAGGTAAGGTGCATATAAGAAAAAAAGCAATAACAACCACGGATTAGTGTGTGGTACTGTAATAATAATAATAATAATAATAATAATAATAATAATAATAATAATAATAATAATAATAATAATAATAATAATGGGGGTAACGGAAAGGTACAACCAGAAGAATTCTTTCAGTTAAGGAAGTTAAAACCACTTTTTATGAAGAAAGTAAAAGAAGGTTACAGCAGAATCGCCACTGTGTTGCACCATCTTTAAGACGTCAACCAGAGAGTTGTGAAGAACCAACAGAAGCCAGTCGTAAACAACTTTCTTTAATATCACAACACCATGTCATGCACTGACCACCTCTCCACTTTTTCCAACCAGTCCCAAATAATGCACGACGTGAAATTCCCTGGGACGACGTTCGTAGAACATGTCCAAGCCACCGAAGTCGATGTTTCAAGATGGTGACACCACTCTCGGCCATACCAAGGCATTTCGAGGCTCTATATACATGAAAACATTTAATTTTCTATATTCCTGTTACTGTTTTACAGTAGGTTTGTTCGTGTGTGTCACTTTTTCCATCAGTTTAAACAAAGTTATCTCGAAAATAACGTGCGTCAAGTCTTCAGTACTACATGATAGTGGTAAGTAAAGTGAAGGAAGACCTTACAAATGTGTTAGGTAGTTGGAAACAACTGACATAAACCTGGATTTATGTTTTGTACTGGTTGATGCTCGTCACCAAGTTTTATCTACAATTTTCAAGAAACTGATACTCTATTGAGATTCGAACCTACTACATCCAATGTTAGGGTCAAAAACACTTATTATTGGTAACCTTTCCTAGTATTTGTAAAATTCACCAGTCGCCAAATGTGCCTTCTATTTTGAAGTAAGGTGGTAACTACACAACTTGTTTTGTTTTATCGAAAATAGGCGGAGTTATGTTGGAATGCGTGATCTATGTTTTTATATATGATTATATATTTATCTTCACCACATAACACTGTCTTTTGTAGAAATCATGTGGTGTATTTTAGTGTGACTGATTTTCGCAAGAGTAAAGTGTCCAAATCCTTAAGAATTATTGTCTCTAGTGTAACACTTTTTCAGAACACTTGAGGCTGACTGATAGTGAAAATTTTTCCCTGACCAGTCATCTTTTTTGAATTCTTTGCATTTTGATTCATATAAAAACGAAGGGAAATGATATTTTTCCCTTTCCATTTTTCATCTTTTCCTGTATATTTTAGATGGATCTATTTTATTCTCCGTTTTGGATGGTCTTTCACTACGAGATAGGATAGACAAACTTCATACTTGTTCACGTACAAGAATTAAATCATCTAAAGCTGCTGAGAGTTTGCAAGTATGTTTATATCACGTAGTTCGTTAACCCACTTATAGTCATTTGATTTTAAAATGTACAATTTGTCTCATTAGTGTAGGTTTTCAACTTTTGGTCACTAGATTTCAGTTTCCAATTCCACTCCGTTTACACTGATATTCGGGTCATAGTCTCACTAGAGCTCACAAACCAAACGGTATGACTTGCAATCTACAATGTAAGACTGGCAAGGACTACTACTGAGTTACATTTATTCTGCATTTCAGATTTTATTTATGTATTTTAGCACATAGATATTGGTACAAGGAGGCACCAAATACATATGCGCCGCACATATCTCATATGATTTGTGTGAGGGCTGTGATACTGTCCGGGTGCCCAAACCGAAGCAGATGGTTTTCTTAGAGGGCCACTCCCCGAGCCTTCGACCTGAAGGTCTGATCCACAAGGCAGTGGAGCATCATAAGGAGATGCAGTCCCATGGAAGCCGGTGACCAACGACTGGTTCATACGCCATTTGTTCCCGCAGGATACTGGAGCCCATGTGCACCATTGATTTGGAATCCGGTTAAAGCTCCGGACATTTGCTTTTCGTCTTCTCATTTTCGTAGACAACACCCCCGCCACGAGAAGGCAGTAAGTAGGACTTCCCTGGCAAATGCTGTGTACGCGTGGCCGTGTGAGAGCATTTCGAGAGGGAGAGTGGAATCTCCCCACTCTCGGCCATACCAGGGCATTTGGGGGCGCATTTCAGATTTCTCAGCTTACTTAATACACTCACTGCATCGTCAAATTAAGTCCAATTGCACCAGTTGGCATGTGATAAGATGACATCCAGAGAGTAATGTGGGAGTTGGCTGACACAATATTGATAAAATTGATTGAATTCTCAATATTCTAAGTTCTAGAAAGAACGGATAATAAAACATGATATCAGTCTATTTATTTTTAACCAAGAATATTCCTTTTCCGTTTTTCTTATTTCCTTTTGTTGCTCTTATAAACATAACAGGTAGGTAACTATTTTTGTCATTCACTTGTTCACTGTTTCAGAACTTTGCCGACCAGTATTCTGAATTCGATTTACTTTTATCTACGTCAACATCTCTTGGTTTTTCTGCACCGTCTACAATTGGAATAAATCAACCGAATACAGCTTCTTCTACTAGCCAGTTGGCGTTAGGTAGTTTAAATGTGAATACTAATTCTTCTACCACTGCCACTACTCCAACATCTATATTACGTACATCCGGTGATAAATTAATTCACCATACTCGTAGTATTTCAGCTACTGGATTTAATGGAATCACATCATTGACTTCAATGTCGTTAGCTCGTACCAGCAGTGGAACAGGAAATGGTGCACATAATTTCTCGACAGGTGGTCAAATTTCTAGTGGACATGGATCAGCTGGACATATGGGAGTACTTACTGCTAGTTCACCTAATTCGGGTAGTTAATTATTTTCCTTTTTTTTCTCTCTAAATATCAGCGTTAATATGATTGTAGATAATAAAAAGTAGGACTTATTTTATCATGTCATATAGTTTCTTAAGCTGTTTAATGAATCAGCTGCTTTGTAGTTAAGGCGTTAGACTTTCAACTACCAGATCGTAGGTTCCCGAGTCTTCCTTCACCTACTTCTGTTTAATCAGTTGGATAGTATTATTAGCTGTCACACAAAATACAACTTACTTCAACTCAATGCCCTTCAGTGTTCCTAATTTCCATTCAATAAATCATGATTAAGTCTCCAATGAATTATTTAATTTCCTCTTGATCGTTCTGTGATTTTTAATTTTAAAAAACATCATGTCCGTTGAAGACTGGGTTTAGGGTGTTGGTGTTTATAAGTCAGATGATTCGTGTGAAGTAGTTTAATCTTACAAAAGATCAGTTGTCAGATGGATTCATCAACTGAATATATTGTTAACAGATTTGTAGTTGAGTGTTACTTCGAGTGAATCAATGTTATCGTGTTTGTTGTTGCAACTCCCTGCTGAGATGACTGCCAACAAAGAAAAAAACTTCCAATCATTATGAAGATTACTTTTTATTATTTAACATATCATATAATGAACTATAGTATTTTTATAACTTAAGATTCATTAGTTTTTGTCATTGAGTTAAAACCCATTCTACTTCGCACATTAGCTTTATATGTTAAATGAAACCTCTGTTCTTAAGAGTTGTATTGATTAAAATAACTGATACGTAAGATTAAAATTAAGTCTGTGAGTCAAATGTTAGTTCTGTTAGCTTGCGAATAACTTACAGAACTTGCATCTTTTAACTAACCGTGTTTCAATTACTTTATATTCATGTTTATTTTACATCGAACATTTTATAATGTAAACATGTCTTTATTGATAGATAAGTCAGTCAGTCATTTACAACGTAGGACCAGGCACATATATGCATCGATCCAGGTTGCCACATCTCATCAGCACAACAAGATGAACGCCAAAGTGGTATTTAAACTCATTCTTTGACCAGTTTCATTTTCCTTTTATATCAATTCATTCGGAAAACTCGCGTTAATAATTCTAATTCATAAAAGTGATCACAACCATGTTATATCATTGAGAATCAATTATCTGTCGGATTGTGTTTTGTTCGTCATTTTTTTTAATCCAAACATACGTCATAATCTTAAGTCCCAAAACCCATTTTCCCTAACAATAAATTTTTTTCTAAAAAGGCCTCAAGCTAGTGGTTAATTGAACTCAGTAGGTTGTGTGTTAGATGTTTAAACAGAATGTGTTGGGTTTGAGTGCCATAGTGGACATCAACACACAGATCCAGCTACTTCTAGCCGAAGCGTTCTAAATAAGATGAAACGTGTCCTGAATCCCTCTACTAACCACTATCCAACTATACGTAAATACTTGTTACTCAATAGTATTATCAAGGCAATCAACTCAAGATGCACCTATTCCAAAGGCGATTGATCAATTTCAGTTCATATTATCAACAACGAAAAAATTCAAACTATTGTTAATCAGACCGAAATTGATGTATAATTATATCACTCTTTGTAGTTTATGACTGTTTACAGTAGACGTGAGTCCTTGAAATAACCTTTAATTCATTTTATTCTGTATATAACTTGTCGTGTTTAGTTTGTTCAAATTTATCAAGGGAATCATCAAATGTATTGTAGTGAACAAAAACACAAGTGGGGACAGTCGAATGTATTTGAACACGAAATTACAGAACATCTCACTAAAATGTGAGAACCATACAGTAAATATTTGCAAAATATCAATCAATTGTCTGAAACGTCACTGTTCCTTTTGCAAATCTCAGTCGATCGTCTCACATTTCACTGTTCGTGCATTCTCACACCAATCGCTTTCCGTTCCAGTTCTTCCGTTCTCCATCTTACACTGAAATGCATTCTATTCCTCATCATCGTTATATACTACTTATATGGATATAAATAGCTCACACCACAGTATGACATTAACGTTTACTACTTAACTATTCAGAATAAAGTGATTAGTGTGTGGTTCGAACTTTAAATCATTTGGTGAACATTAGTTATTTTTGGTAGATCAATCAAGATACATGCACGCTAGTTTTAATCGACTAATTTTTTAAATGTTATTCTTTTTTTTCAGTCTATGATCTTAATCAAGAACCAGTTAGTGCATTGAATCCTTGGATTTCTGATAATCCTGATTATTGGAATACGGACCTACGTCCAAAATATCTACCTATTCGTCGTATTAAACGTTGGAGTTTCTCAATTCATGAACTATTAAAAGATCCAGTTGGTTTAGAAGAATTTCAACGTTGGTTAGAAAAAGAATTTTCAGCAGAAAATCTCAGATTCTGGCAAGCATGTCAAGTAAGCAATTTACATACTTGTTATTCACTTACCAAGTATGATTTTATGTACCCAATTTTAAGTAGAACTCTTTGTAGAAAAACCACTGGTATTATCCAGTTGATCAAACTGAAGTAGTGTATATTATGGGATCCAAAATTACAACTCAAACGACTGGATGTAAAGTGTTTTAACCAGTGAAACTGCCACTTGAAAAAGAAATCTTTTGTTATTGTAATTATTTATGCATTTTCACGATAGTTGGTACTAATGAAATCTAAGATGGGTGTTTCATTTTATTTGGGACTTGTCAAGTGTGTTTATACTTCAATTAATATTGATAATTTTACTGGAAATCTGATCCGATACCCATCGTTTCAAAAATACTAGACTGTTATCCACTAATCTACCCAATTCATAACAGCTATTACCTTTTCTGGAAAATCTAGAATTGAGTATCAGACTTAGTACGCATTGCAAACAGCAAGATCAATGTAATAAGTACCAAACAGGACGAAATGCTCCTCTTCAACTTCACCTCTAATCAATATCAAAATATATTATCAATATTTGTGAATACGTGAAATACTCATGATGTCCATAATCCATTAGTAGAGACTAATGAATTCATTCATTTTCAAATGACGATCAACCTAAAATTCTCCTTTGTTTGATTCGGGTTGGATTTTCGGGGAATGATGCAATTCCATACTAGCCAACCCAGTCCTCAAAAATTAGGAGAGGAAATTTTTGAAAAAAATCGGAAAAGTTTATTTTAAATCCGATTGACCATGATACAATATGAAATGCATGTGTATCTATAGAAAATTTTGAAGTGTCCTTAAAAATCAAACCCTGAAGATACCGGTTTTAGGGATTCAATTTTGTTGACACAATTTGAAATTTTCAAAATGATAATTTCATGGAATTTTTTTCCAGTTGACTTTTTTCTAGTTTTTAATGATTTATTATAGTTCACTATAACACTATTCATGATTTTGTAAAAAGTTCCCGACTAATCTACCTGGATATCGTCTACGCGAAACAAAGTAAAATATACAGAACAAAATATTGAGATCAAATTTTAAAAAATATTTTTGTGTGTAAGATACATGTAGTTATGTTATAATTCTCTCTTACGGTTATAACCCAGCTATTCCTATTGCTTAGTACTCTCGGACACCGATTCACTCGACAAGACCCCCAAATCAGAACACAGTTGTACAGGAAAAGAGATTATATTCCAAATAAAAAGGTTAGACGGAAGTAAGAAGCAAGTAAGTGCAATAGGGAAAACGTTAGTATATTTATAGTTTTTCACATGATAAGATTTCTAGAGTGTTCACTAAGTATTGATTAACGCTGATTTGGATAAGAATTAGCCAATCAGCGTGCAGCAAAGCAATCATGCATTGAGCATGCTTTAATCCAGTCTATGTCCCGCTAACCAGTTACGAAAGTGTTTTGTATTTAAAAGAAATTTCACATGAAATACATTTACATTGTCCTACATAATGCCTATCATCAACCATCCACTTAATCAATTTTTCTTTCATATTTTGCGTTTACTAAAATATCTGTTATTGTTGAAAAAATAGTCTTCATGTAGACGGGGAGATTTCACTGAATAAATTAATAGACCCATCAGCATTTTTTTAAAGCTAAGTACTAGCTTCGGTCTGGGCACTCGGGTAGTATCATAGCCCACACACAATTCAAATGACTTGTGTGTATTCGTTGCCCCTTTGTACCAATATTTATGTGTTGAAATAAACAAATAAAGCAAGAACCACTTCTAAATTTTTATTGTATCACACTACTCTTCAGTTTTAGGTTACCAAGGTAAAGTTAAACTATACTGTCGAACGACCTATTTTGATTAGTCAGAAAAGAATAAGTATAGATGAATGAATTATAATATAATACCAAAAATATATCGTTGTTTTATATTATTAGCTAATTCGTATAGGTTTGCTACAAGCTCTTAACCGTTAGATTTTGGTGCAAAGATCACGACTAATGGTTATAATTTCAAGATGCTCTAATCACCAATTCTTTCCCTAAACCTGACCCTAATCCCAGATCTAACTCAAATCATAACCCTAATTTTAACTCGGTCTTAATCCTTAATCTAGACAAAACTCTTCACTCTAACCCGAAAATTAAACATTAACTACTGCGATCTTAACCCTATTAAATATTACGATAAAATATAGTGTTTTTCTGCACTCATGCTCTGTCATTTCATTCCCCCATTCACAAGTGAATGTTTTCTTCACCAATTCAACGCCCTTTGAATAACTAACACGGTTTCCTTCACGAAAGCTTATCATTATACGGTTCCTGATTAACATTCTGGCTTAATTATGGTTCAACAAATGTCATTGTTAGGTTCACTTGAAATCTCTAAATTCTCTCCTCATTTGACTTATTTTTTATTGCTTTATATTACGTGTTACTATTCAATAAACAGTTTCATTTCTAATAATTTTTAGACTTATGGTGCAATGTATGTTTATCGATGTGCTATATTCTGAGGTATTTACATAAACTAATAACATTTACTGCGTCTATTGCTGTAATTATGTTCTCTTAACTCTTGTAACAACAATTTCTAGCTTTTGTGCATTTCTTAAATCTTTGTTTAGATGCAACAGTTTCCATATTTTTGTCCTCTTAGTCCCTGTTTGGATTGTTGATGGTCATTATTAACTTCAAACACAATTACCGACCGTCATTTACGCTATCATATATTGTAATTAATCTTAACGTGATTATTACTGGTATTCTTTTTTCCAGACGCACAGACGCATTAATCGCCACATATACCTCACGAGTTTGAAACCCATTTACAATAATAAACCGTTCATTAAATAAATCGTTTTGAATCTCAATATTATGTGTATTTCAGTTGTATTGTTAGACGCTTTTATATACTTAACAGTCGTTCTAAGTTGATATATGAGTGGGTGACTTTGAAGTATTTGTTCGATCCTGATTGCTTTCTCAATATTGTTCAGCCTTATTGATCACGAGTTCATCTACTTCAGTCTATATAATTGAGTGCTATGTCTGTTTGTTGTGGTATCTAAGAGATATTTTTTGTTATAATGCAAGCAAAAAAGTAAACTGTTGTCTAATTTATTATAATCTCTCCATTTATAGGTACTTAAAGGTGCTCCATTGCGTGAAGTTCGTCAGTCCATTATGAATATATATCAACAGTATTTAGCTCCAAATGCAGTAGAACCAATAAATATTGACAGTAGAATCGCTGATCTTGTAAGACGTCAAATAGATGGTGAATCGAATACAACACCAAATCGTTATTGCTTTGAAGCAGCTGAAGAACACATTTTTCATTTAATGAAATCCGATTCTTATTGTCGTTTCCTACGATCTGATGTTTATCGTGAATTATTTCGTGGTGATAAGAAAAAGTCAAAGAAACAGCAACGTAGTAGTGGAATCAATTCGAATAATGCTTTGTCAAGTGGTCCCGGCGTTGGTGCTCAAGTTACTGCAACAGTTAATTTTACTGGAATTGAATAGCAACCAAATCTTCCACGCATGGGCTAGTGGTTGACTGTTACAATAGTTCTATTCTGCTTATTTTGAATAAATGAAAAAAGTGCTTTTTCATTGTTTGCATTTCATTATTCTATGTTGTATATGCTTTTTTTAATTTTTTTGTCTTGTCTTTTTTCCACCATAATATTTACCCATCATTTTACGCTTGGTTCCCAAAGTTATATTTGTAATGACGACAATTTGATATGATACTTTCAGCAAAACTTACATTTTCAAAAAATCTTCTCACTTTGTCTTACCCTCAAAAAAATATGATAATAACTCCTGTCTAAAGATATTATGCCTCATGGTTAAATTCCCCAATAAGTTTGTGATCTCTCTTCAAATTTATGACTAACTTACTAGACTATCTATCTGATTGACTATGCTTTATGATATTAATACGCAAATTTAAAAGATGCTTAAATATACGTATCCATTGTAAAAAGAAAACTACCGTCCTTCTATGTTATTGTATGTGTATGTTTGGTCAATAAGTTTTGATCTTATTCACTAGTCAATAAACGTTTAATTACAACTTGGATCTCTACAAATTTCATTTTTACATAATGTATTGTGCAATTTCAATTTTGAGCGCGTGTTCAAATACCAAAGGAACTCATTACATAATATATACTGTGATATACATATATCTTATTTGCATTTCTCTCTCTCTCTCTCTCTTATGCATTTATTTTTAAACGCACAGATGAAATGTAACTTTTAATGAATCATAGATATTTATGTATCCTTCCATATGGAGCTTATTATGTTGTAATATTGTTTAATGAGCAATTGATTGTCGGGTTACTTTTATTTATTCCTTCTTATGATGTATTGTTGCTTCTTTTCTTTTGTTCATTTGTCACCTGAATTGATCTGCTTTCATTAATTGTTGAATTATGATTTCAGTTATATCTTTTAGCTTTGATTTTATTATATGGTTGTTTTCTTCAAGACGATTATAACATTATGGTTGTAATATAATATGATGAATATATATTACAAACTTGTCGTTTGACTAATGATAGAGGTGAAGTATATAACTACCATATTACTGTATTTTCTTCTCAAGTATTTAACACTAACATTCGAATAGATTTTAGTTTTCTGTCATTTTTGTTTAATATTTATTAATGTGGAAGTTCCAGTTGCGTGTTTTTTTTCTCTCACGGTTATATCAACTACTCATAACCATTTATTTAAGTAGACAGTTGTTTATCATTTTATCTGTTCTGTTTATTAGTTTCAACTTCACTTATGTTAAAATACATCATAATTTCTTTCTGAAATAAATAAAATAATTTATGAATTGAAATCTGTTAGTTGAGTATTTACTGAGCGTCAACTAGTTTTTTATAGTAAACATTTTATCTCCAAACTAAAAAGAGTTTACAGTAGAGGAAATAGCCATCATTTTACCTAACAATTTGGCGTTAGAAACGTCGGCTTGAAGGCATAGGAACTTAACTCCTAACTACTGAATCAGGGGTTTAAAACCGGTCCCATTTCAATTTCAGACATAATATTGTCACTAGTTCTCTCACAAAGTATGTACGAGTTCACGGTCTTATACTTAATTAGTGAGTAGCTGCGTACATTTCTTCGATTGCCCTTGCGAAATAATGAATTACTGTTTTATTGCATCATTTGTACACTGCCGAAATTATCCAATTTCGTAGTACCTATTGTCTCGTTACCAAAATCTGTTTATGGGTAACGGTGGTCAGCTAGTATAACTGTTTAGCCTAATCAATTATGTTTATATAAGTTCTTTAGAGCAGAACTTAGTTTTTTTTTAAACGACACCTATTCTACGGATTTTGATAAGGATCAATAATAAACAGTAATATTTCGCGAAAGTATCAAAAACAAGCAAATCGAGATCTTATGTGGAGTGTCACTTATAAAACTGGTGTGGGCCAATCACATTTTTCTTGTGTAGTATCGTGTCACAGAAAGATTGACCGAATGTTGACTTAAGATGTACACTTCCCAATGAGTCAATCGTTAGTACTTTGATACAGTAGTCAAGCATATTCCACATAAACAAATTTATGACTATTTTAGATAATAAAGTTCCTATCGCTACATTTTTGTGTATCCATATGGATAATTTGGGCATTAATTGTAATTTCAAGGTTTTGATAATCTCAAAATAATCTAATGAACAAAGTGGATGTAATCATTATCAAATGTCTAGAATCTTGTATTATAATAAACACAATATTGAATAAAACGATTACTATTAACCTTGTTGAGGCTAATGTCCTCTATATCTGACTCCATTAAATAATATCCCGTTAACCGAGTATTTAATGCAGGCTAAATCTCTTGGTAGAATTATGGATTTTACGCGAGACTATTCAAAAGCCCGAACACCAGTTGTAGAGATAATTTATTTTTAATGATTAATAAAAATCCGCAAGCAAGCCACACGGTGAAGCCAAGTAAAAATGATGCGCAGTGGAGATGGCTGGTAAGCCAACTCCCCTTTAGACAATCGTTACTCAATATTTATAGTCAGACAAAATAAAGCTACAGACATGTGATTAATGGGATAAGAAGGGCACTGACATATACGCTCATATAAAAATAGTCTAGATTGATAAGCGAATAAATAACAAGGTCAAAGTATGGCTCAAGTAGAATGAATAGAATGGAATGTCCGAAAGCTAGAATAAGGCATATGGGCTTAATATATTAACTGACACTACAACCTTAAATGTTTCATGTTTAAAAGCTGTAGTACTTTTCTTATTTCAACCTTCACTTTATTGAATATGACTAAATAGCTTTTTTCTAAATTTCATCTTGAAGTTGTTTATTTTTCCCTTGTAGTTTGACAATTTCATGATAACTTACGCTATCTACCCAAATTCTCTTCTAATAACATTTGCTTTTCATGTACACAATCACTTCAAAATTATATGATTCACTTTAAGTTAAGTAAGAAAGGTTATGTTTTTGTTGTAATGATAATTTAGAAATTTTAAATATCATCATTAAAACGGGGTGAATCCTGAATCCCTTTTTTCCAACTATAAGCTACTGTTATACATTTAGTTATTACTAAATAATTGTCCGACTTTCGCTCCAATCTCTCTCATATATAAATTGATTGTGTGTAAAGTGGTGTTCATAATTTGGAGTGTGTTTAGGTCTGGTAATTTACGTATACAAACCTATGAGTACTTGAAATACAGAATAACAGAAGCTCGGTAGTTCTATTCCCTTGTTCGGACTCAATACTAGGAATTAAGATAACTAAACATCAGGTGAATATTAGTCGTAGCAGTCAGAGCGTGTCACTGGTCAAGACGTAGGACATTAGACCAAAGACGATGTGGTGTACTCAAGATAGAAAACTACGGATCCGGATTCTGATTGGTGCATATATTAATTGATATCTATTAACGTTTCAGACATAATAATCATAAAAACAGTTTCTTTAATAGAATTGTTCAAAGCCTACTCACCTGGAGGTTTAATGTCCAATGCTCACAAATGTGATTTCTTTCATGCTAATATTGAAATCCTTTCTAAGGATTGAAATTTTCTTCTCTTTTAATATTCCATCTGACAGACCCACTAACATTCTGTACCAGTAAACGAATCCTCAAAATATATAAATTCATTGCCTTTCGATATTTATATTAATCTCACTAGTTTTAAGGAACACAAATAGCTGAAAACATCCGGTCAACCATTGTCAACATATCTCGGTAGAGCCCATGAGGTTGACAATTTCATGTTTATTCACTTCTGCCTCCAATCGAATATATTATTCTTCGGAACTCTTTTCTTGCTTTCTTTGGCGCCTCTCTTCCAGTTATTCCCGGTTCTGTTTTGTAAGAACTCATTTAAATTACAAGCCCAGTGGATGTTATACCATTTGTTTAAATTTCATCATTTCTTGTTTTTGGAGATTTGATTTTTTTAAAAAGCATAAATTTCAATAATCTATACACTCAATAATATCAAATTCATAGCTAGTTAACATCCTGACAAGGTAATTACAGCAAATAACAACAACCATTTTGACTAATCCAGTCAAAGTCTATGATGGTTTAATAAATTAATTTGTCAAGTAAAATCCTTGATGTTAAAGCCAGTCTTTAAGGAAAGACTTGTTTTAGGAGTCAGTTCTAAAATGTGCAGTGGCAATATGTCAAATAAAATTAGCTATAAGTTTAAACTACTGAATCAAAATTTCAGTAGTTGCATGTTTTATATAAACCTTTTCCGAAAATGATATTTCGATAAGGACAAGATGAAATATCTTTTTACAAGTTACTAACTTAAGAATGAAATCATCTTTCACCCTTTGAATTCAGAATAAAGGATTTGGAGTTGTTGTGCTTTTCGGTTTTGGCTATACACTCTCTGAAATGAAACTGTCGTCTGATAATTTTAATTAATTTCTGATTATTCTGTAAAGCTATATCACATTAGTAGGCTATATTTGCCGCTATGTTTTATCTTATTATTATAATCAACAGTTTCAATGTCCCAGACTTAGATAATATATTGTTGTTAAGATAATAAATCAAAATTCAGTTAATAATTCTTTTCGTTTAGTTTGTTTTTGACGTGTTTATTTAGCTTAGTTTCTTTTAACATCATTCATATGTACTTCTGTATTAAGAAATGACTTTCAGAATTGATACATCCAGCAAATATGTGTACCGATGCTTAACACCTATTTTATAGAATTTAAAACATACTATTCTAGTTCCCTTCGAGATCCTTTCAACTTGTGGCAATATGCTGATTCCATCTTCAATTCCGTCATTCGGAACATCACTGTAGGTCCTCAACCTCTTTAGTTTATATGTCACTTCATGTTCTCCTTAACCTGAAAAAAGAACATTGCGAGAACGAGAATACTGGAGGGTACATATAACTTCATTTATATTAAAGAGAAATTAATCTTTACTGTTGGGCAGTTTAGTCTTTTAATTAAAAATTGTTAATTATTC